GAACTGGTGGAGTCACCATCCCTGGAGGCATTTAAAAGAGGTGTAGATGTGGCACTCGGGCACATGGTTAAGTGGTGGGCTTGGCAGTGCTGGGTGGATGACTTTAGAGGGTTTTTCCAGGCTAAACAATTCTCAGTTATAATTTCATGGTATGATTCAAACCATTATTTTAACACAGATGAGGCTAGTGATAGGGCTTTCTGGCATGAGCAAAGGGGAATGCACTGGCTACAGTGGTAGAAAATCCTTAGCCTATCTTCATCAGTAATGCTCATGGACTTCCATGCAGCTGAAAACCACTGTGTGAGAGTGGGTAGGTGAAGGGGCTAAGAGTCTGCCTGTGCATCGGACCTTGCTAGACCATGTCCATTGCATGGATAGAGGGGAGCAGGTTTACCTGATATCTCGACAAGTTCCAGTGCTAACATGAGGATGGAATCAGGTTGACTGAATCCATGTCAATATGTAACAGGACAGCATTGATCAATGTTTTTTTACATGAGAAAATAATTAAATAGACATGAATTATGCAGAAATTGTATGATTTTAAACTCACATTTGCACAGATAACAGCCCTTCCTAGAGCTGTATATTGAGATAAACTGTATCAGAATTACCTGCCCCATGTCTCTTTCACAGGACTTTAATTCTGAATGAATTTTCAAACAGAGGGTGAGCACAGGGCAGAAGGTGAAGACTTTCCTAATCCCTGTTTGACAGCATGTGCCTTTTGACAGATGTCTTTCAAGGCCCAACTTCTCCAACCTGGAATATCAGCTCTCATCACTAAATAGGCAAAAACTTCTTTCACAAACCCAGGTGCCACAGAGTAAAACCTCATTATTAAAGAACATTAGTGATTTTTTCCTTCTGTTTTCAAATTTCAGATATTTATACTCAAAACAGCTCTAACTTTGACAGTACATGTGTTTTATACTTGCTACAGTGAATTAGTTGTGAAAATACTATGCTCCTTAGCTTTGTGGATTCTGACTCACCATCTTTCAAAAAGATATTTCCTATATCCAAAGAAAGTTTGGCAAGTGGTTGTTGACTCTTCTTTATCATCCAAATGTTAAAAATCTGCTTTGCTTGATCTGATCAGAAGAGCTGAAACTGAACTTGAGAAAGGTCTCAGTGTTCTCAATGAGCACCTGCTGGTGATAATATTGATTAAATTACCATGCCTGCTGATCTCTTCAGCCTTGCAGAAGAGAGAGCAATTCCCAGAAGTTTCTTAGAAGCCAGATGTTGAACAGGAGTAAAAACCCTGGAAGAAGAAGGGCCTAACACCAGAATTATTTGACCTTGATGAAATGTGTTCTGTGAGCGGTGTCTACAGGACAAGTGTTGATTCTCTTCAGGAAGTTTTTCACCCACAAGGAGGCTGACTTTGAAGACATGTGCCTTAGGTACGACTTGGAAATTGGAAAGGAAAAAGAAGTGATGTGTTTTGGGCTTTGCACTCCTTTGGTGATGTACTCTTCATTCCCTCAGCCCCACTTTTGCAAGAAAGAAAATTCATATTTTGTTAGTATTACTCAGCTAACAGAACTACATCTCAGTTTTCCAATATCTTGGCATTCTGTTTTCATCCTGCTTTGGTTTGAAAAGCATTAAATGTCTTAGATATGCTATCTATGTGTGTGTGTATAAAGCAAAAATACCCAAACCCGTTCTTGCAATTGAGATCTGGAATTGAGAAGATGACATTTTGAGCGCAATTTCAATTTGGCATTTGAAAACAAATATTGATTCATACCAAACTGTTTCAATTCAAAACTGTCATTTCAGTTTGAAAATAGCATTAAATTGGCATTTGCAGCTGAAATGTCAATTTAAAAGAAACTGTTTCAGCTTAAGTTGACATACAGGAACAAAACATTTTGATTCAAGATTTCCCCTTGTGGGGGAGTAAAAATATTTTTTCTTGTTGTCAAAAACATTTTTCTTCTCAATTGCACTGAGTTTTATGAAACTAGAGTTTCCTACAACAAAAATGGCGACAAACTATTAGGCTTCATCAACTATACTGCTTTTGGATGGTTGGGAACTAAGTGGAGGGTGTGATCTCTGTTGGGTTGGGCTCAAGGTGCCTGTCCCAGTCTTACTAGTTCTTTGGTGTGCTCTTCTCAGATTGCATCCCCTTCAAAACTTATTTCAGTGTCCTTCATGTTCCCCAGCTCTTTAAAGGTTGCTTTTGTTAGTGTTCTCTTTGTGTCCCTCAGGACAGATTTGAGTTTCCCGGTCAGTACATCTGGCCAGTTAGTGGCTGTAAAACAGAGAAAGAAGAGAAGTTAGCAATTTTGCTTACTAAGGAATAAATTTTCCTTCAGCAGCGTGTTGTGTTAGCCAAAGCAGAGATGTTAGATGCTATCAAAGCCACCAAGAAGCATCAGGCAAGGAGGGATAGAGAACTGCAGGGATGTGGTGGTCCCAGTAGACCATGTAACCACTGGATCTGTTGCATGGGTTAATGGGATGCAGACAGCTTTCATCTAAAGATAACCACTTTAGAAATGTAAATTTAATTTACATAAAACCAGACAGAGGGCTTCAGCTGCTCCTGAAAAATATTCCTGACTATGTATCATGAGTCTCATAAAGTCTCTAGCTGGTAATAAAAGAGAGTCCTTGTTAATCAGCTGGAATTCTCCAAGTTTGAGCCCTTTTGCTGCCACCAGTGAGAAATATGAAGGTCCAACTGTTCTGAGAGCCCCATAACTCATCAAGCCCATGACAGGATTGGCAGAGAACCAGAAAGCCCTGATATTCATCTCAGATGTAGGTGTGGTTATGCTGCCTTAGCCTGGCACATTTCCTTGCAGAATGAGCTCTGCTGAGTACCAGGACTTAGGAGCTGGGCTGAAAGACAACATGCCTCCTGTTACATCCTACTACAGGACAAAGTGTAAGGGTCACTAGTGATATAGCCAAGGTGTTTATTTTCAGGTAACTGGAGGTGCACTCTGGTGTTCCTCATGCTTTGCTGAATGTTTTTATCAAGATCCAGCCAGAACCACTTCTTTTCAAAATCAGGTGTACACCAAGGACAGCAGAATCCACAGCCACTCTTTCAAGGTTAAAGAATTTGATTCCTGAGCATGAGGAACAGAATTTTGACCTTCCTCTAGACTCCAGGCTGGACGAATTCTCTGAAATAAACAATTACCCAAGACAGGGATCCCTATCGTATTGCAGCAAGGATCCTATGTGACTGTTAGCAGTTTACAGTCCCAGACTAATAGGACCATAAACTAAGTGAACAGCCTATAGATCAGTACATTTGACATCCATGTATAGTGTCCGTTTATTGCTACCAAGGTAAAAAAAGGTTATTGGTGGCATATTCCCTTTCATCATAAGTGTCTAAAATAGATTAACTGGAAATACCACTAAACCACCAAGCAGGCACATGGGAATATGTGGCTGTTGAGGACTTAATTGCCTTCATTGAAAGCTTCATGCACACAAGGAGGATTGAACTAGAACCGTTGAAAAGATCCAGGTATGCCTTATTGATTTTTCAGCTATTTATCATGAATCAAACCAAGTGGGCTAATGAGGACCTTCTGTCCTCCATAATATACTAGAATCAGCCTTATGTCTGTGGAAGTCTGTCTATGGGTGATATACGTACTATATATTTATGTATTAGTATACGTGCAGGTTTTGACAAGCAGGGCTAACCCAAGTGAAAGATCCTTTTTGTCTCTGGCCTTGGAGAACTAGGTGTTACTCTTAGGTGAAAATCAGCAGGGTGGTCTTCTGTGCCTTGGAGCTTATATTTAGCAGCAAGTTTTCACATATGGTAGTACTTATGCAGGTCTCTGCACAATGTGTCCCGTATTGAAATCTTTTTTTTTTTTTTTTTTAATGAGGAATTTCTGCCGAGATCCTACACAGGGAGAACTTCAGACAAACAGACAAAAACTTAAAAATCTTTTAAGAGAGACAAACCAGCTTAGTAACACACCCTGAATCTTTAAAACTTGTGGTTAAGGAAGAGGAACACAGCCAAAAGTTACCTGCTGGGGTTTACCCTTGTGAGAAAATTGGGTGGATCTATAGTCTTCATAGTAATCTATCAGCCTGATATGGTGTATCTAAGGGGTTTGTAACTGACCTATATCTAGGCATTCTGGGCTTTCATCCACCTCTGCTTTAAAGTGAAATTAAGTACACATTAGTTCAGAGGAACTGACCAAAGCAGTATTGCTATTTTTCAGGAGATATTATTAAAAATACCCCAACCGTACAGCATTTTCAGGGGACACAAGACGTGCATCTGTGGATGTCCATGCTTATATGCCAACCTTGCCCTGGTAACACCTACTTGATCAATGTGCACCTGTGGATGTCCATGCTTATATGCCAGCCTTGCCCTGGTAACACCTACTTGATCAGACACCTCAGATCATGCTGTAATACTCCATGTAACTTCTGAATCCCACCCAAATCATCCTAAATCCATTCTATCTTGTACCAGTAGGTACAATAATGATGAATAACAGGGCTGCATCCTGTTTCATGTCATGAGATATGGAATTACACTAGGCAGGAGACATAAATTACAGGAAAACAACAATAGGCAATTTAGATTTTTTCAGGCTCAACCTCCAGTTTTATCTACCATGGACTGGGCTCTTCCTGGCACAGTGTACATCAACAACTGGATTGTTTAACTGCAATCAACTGGATTGATAATAATTGCATATGAACATAGCAATACTGCATGTCTTTCAGGAATGAATACGATAATAGGTCATTGAATTGTTAGGAAATCACACAATAAGGCTACTACTATTCTTTAGATAGCTTTGCTGCTATTCTGAGCATCTTTTGAATGAGACACTTTGAAAGAATTATGCATATTAAAAAAAAAGAAAAAAGAGAAAAAGGCACGACACTAAAAACAGCAAAGTGCAGACAAATAACATGCAAGCAGACACTAAGTAGCAGAGCTACATTCAAACTGTCCTGCAGCTACTACCTCAGATCTAGGCCCTTTTGCCAAGGAGTTTTTCAGCTTTCCTCCTTTTGAACTCTGCAATTTCTTCTGGGAGTAACCCATGAGCTCTATACCTGCAGTGAACAGGTAGGCCATTAGAGAAAGGACCAGTTCAGTTTCATCTGAAATAAAGAACAGACTGTAATGGGGACTGAGTGAAAGGTAACTGTCTTCTGGTGTGGAAAAGGAAAACATATATTGGTCCTGGTTCCAATTTTATTTATTCCGCTCTTGTATCACTTAAGCTTGCCTTACTGCGAAGGATGAGGTCAGTTGATTAAATTTTAAGTGTCCAGAGTGCTCTTGGCACTCTCAGACACTTCTCCCAGGACAAGATGAATTACTTTATTGATTGAGGAGTGCAAACTATATCTCTATCATGGCTGTTTCCAGAATCTACTAGACAAGATGAATCCTGGGAGAACAGTTTCGTTATTCCACTAATACTTCATTAAAGGAAGAGCAGAACAAAACTGCTGTGAAGACCTTATCTTAAGTTAGTTCAGCTCCTGCCTTGATGCCTTTTGATCTTCCAGGGCTGTTGCTTTCAGAAGCTTTCCATTCTCAAAGATATGGGCACGTTTTCAAATGGAAATCCTATTTAACTGACCCTAGAGACAGCTGCTTGTCTCTGAAAGCTTAACACAAATTTAACAGCCTTTCCTGAGGGAGATCAGAGTCAAGTTTCATCTCTTTTGCCAGTTCTGTTCTACAAATGGAAACATCTAACTAAGTTGTCCTCCCATGCATTACCTAAATCCTCAGATCTGGGAACATCTTTCCTCTTTATAGAAACATTGATCCCTGTTTATATACTTTCTCATGAGTGCTGGAGCCTTTAGGTCTGGGCCCCAAGGACAGGGAAACCCTGAGGATATAATCCTAATGGCCTCAATGAGCAGTGACTTTTTATGGGGATCTACAACTTAGGTGGGATTTATCTGCCTGATATTTGTCTATCTGCAACAGAGATGTCTCCATCGGAGCCAAATATCTTGAGTTCTGTTCTGAGCCAGTAGAGGGAAGCTGATACTGCTGGACCACAACAGGTTATCCCCAAGTAGATGTCCTCTGTGGGGCAGAAGATCTGCACCTAGAAGTGTCTGTTTCTCTGGACTGACTCTTAAAAGATATGCAAGATGAACAGCTCAGATAGAGGTCAATAACTTTTAATAACATTAAATCCTACCTGTTGGAGGGTAAAGAGCAATCTTTTGCATCCAGACACTTTATGCAAACAGTAGCAAAATTCAGCCACACACTGGTAAGCATGAGGGGCTTGTTCTTTGAGTCCACCCAGCAGGACTTTACCAACAGGGATGTGGAGGAGGTTGCTGCCTGTCTCTGCACAATCATGCAGCAGGTTGTGACTCACAGAAGGTGAAGGCCTGACCAGGATATTTGGGGATCAAGCACAGTATTAGATTGCCTGAGGTCCACCTCCAAATATCAGGCACACAACTATGAAATAACTGTTTGAAAATGACTTGAATTTCAGCCATTGCACAATAATAAGAAAAATCCAGTGCAAATAGCAGCTGCCCATCTCCTGAACTTGCTAATGTCAGAGCAACCGGAAATATTTGATTCTTCACCCTCCATCCCAATCTCTGGCAAAACATCTTTTTAAAGACAGCTGTTATTTTTTATCCAAGGTCCTCTCTTCCCACCACCTTGTTTCCAAAGTAAGCAGGAGAAAATCTGTATGATCCTGCATCCCAGCTCCCTGGTCAGTTAAGGAATGTGCATTCTCTTTTATGAATAGGGTGTGTTCCAATGAATTTTGTGAGCCTTGAAAACACAAGCGCCTGGCTTGAACCTTAGGCAGCCAGCTGCTATGGGCTACTATGTAAAAAGAAAACCTGTTTAGATGGCTTGAGGGAGCATGATGTGCCCTGATCAGGTAGAGATCTCACTTAGCCAGCCCACAAAGAGGGTACACCACCATAAAAATGTCCCTAGACTCAAGCTGACTCCTGTTCAGACAGCTCAGATCGCTCAACGCTGGGCTTCCCTCTACTTCTCTTTTCAAGGAAAATGTGGACAGATGCAGAGAGAAACATGTTCAATTCAACTCCTACAGTCAGGATCTACCCTAGACACTTGCTCCTGCTGTCGAAGTGCTGATTGCTGCCCTCTCTTTC